GATTATAATCATACACCTGAACAAGTGACAAAATAGTCTACTCTAAATTAATTTTATGTTTTCTTTATGCAAAGTCCACATGACATGTAATTGCATATCGGGGAGCGTATGTTTAGGATTCAATTCTCACATTCATCCAATACATTCTATAAACTATTTATGTTATCAGCCTTTTTCTTTGAAACAGAAAATATTAGGTCTAGTCTATAAACTTTTGAGTATGTTAATATTAATTAATCTATTCTAAGATGATTATCTATACATGTTGTGTTAACCGAAAATTACAAATTTGAAGCACTTACTAAGTTTTCAACAAAATTTAAAGTCGGATTTTTTTTTTTCAACTTACAAAAATGTGTTCAAGCAATATCGACGTTTGACAACACTAAAATAAATGTTTTAGCAGACCCACCGAGCCGAATTCTATGATCATGTGCTCCATTAAAGTGAGATCTCAAGAGATTTAAAAAGATAATAATAATAATTTAAAGCATCTTCCACACACTTCTTAATGAACTTTATAAATCAGTTCGAGTAGGAATTTCTTTCATTGTGAATTATCTAGATAACTATATGAAACTATTTTATTTACAATATTTACCATCGTAATTAATTTATTTACAGTTTTATCATCCACGGAAAGAAGATACACGGGAACAACCAAGGAAAACGAATTATGGAGATTCTTGTGGAAGATATAATTATAAGGGAGACAAGATGGGACATTTCTCCAGCCCCTAACAAAGACTTTAGTTTTATCAGGGTTTACACAATTATTAATTTTTATTTTATCTGTACAAAGAAAAGCCTTAATCAAATCTCAAACCACCCAATTAACTTTTAATTGAGTTAGTAAGATTCGCAGATCTCTGAGCCCTCTATCTATAGTTATATACTTATATGTGTAAGTATGATTATTGATATGGGAAAAGCTATTAATTAACAAAGCGTGTGTGTATGTGAATCTTGACGTCAATCACGCAAACATACTCGTGAAACAAGGATTCGTCATTTGGCACGTAATTCGTGGGGAACATGTTAACATCTGAGACTTTTTATGGTCGTTCCTCGTTTTTTCCTTAACAAACCCCACTTTTAAGTAGTTTTCACATTACTTAGCTTTGTCTTCAAATGCTTTTTTCACCAAACTATCTTTACTTATTCAGAGATAAAACTGAACATTCTTTCAAATCGAGATTTCAAAATTATGATATATGTTTGACTCGAAATTATTGGTGCTAGAGTTGAATTTTTGAATTTGTGTAACTATAGCAGTTCATTATAACTTATTTTAGAAATAAGCGGAAAAATTGTAATCTAGTCATTTGTGTTAGTGTAATCGTAACGTTACCATTAAAGTTTAAACCAGTATAAAACTTGTTTTTGACTGAAAAAAATTACGCGGTAAAACATGTTCAAAACAATTTTTTTTTTTGTTAATCTGCAACGTAATTTTTTTTAGTTTACTAAAATAATCGATAATATTAAAATTAAATTTACACAAGATTAATAGTTTCCGTTGAAAAATAATCCGGTTTAAATGACAACACAACTCGTTAATCTAGAGATTTTTTAGTAATGAATTACTGAATATAATTTTAATAGAAGTCACAAAAAATTAAAAAAGATTATAACTTTTATATATACATATTACAATTTGCAAATAATAAATTATTAGATAAATTTAAAATAGAATTAAACTCTATTTTTTGATTGCAAATTTTTGCGTTGACTTATAGTTACCTTAGATCTTTAAAGTGTGGTACATTGCAAACACATTTTTGTTATAGTCATAATTAAAGACAAACGTTACTAGAGGTGAGAAAGTAATTGTAATTATATTCCATAAATTTAAGTAATTTGACTTTCATAAAACTTTGAGATCGTATCTGAAAATAGATACGCACGATAATGCGACGGAGACACGTGGGACACACAGAAGTGAGATGTGGGACTTTTGTTCCTTTTTAATTTTCACATCTTCAATTAGATTCTCATGTTTCTTTCTCACACATTTCAAACTTTTTGGCTTCTGGGTCACTTCAGATCACATCCCACATTATGCTTTGTCTTTTTTTTTTCTTTCAATAAACGAAGCTAAGTTATGTTTATGATAACATTTGTTTGCATCTACTCATCTTGACTTTACAGATTACTTTCCGTCTGTCGGCATCTTTTTTACTCTGTAATAACATATTTTTGGATGAAATTTTTAAGCAAAAACTTGGAAACAAATACTGTTGTCTGAATTTTTGAATATTTTTTAAAAAATATTTTAATTAGTTTCTATATACTTCAAAATATAGTTTGTTTACAAAAAAAAAAAAACAATAACAACTATAAAGAATCGAATTCCAATTTACACTGAACGACTTTTTAAGTTATCAGAATGGTTACGAGTCTCGTGACGGAGCCTCCGATCTCATGAAAAACTCTTTTAAGCTAGAGTCTTCCAAATTTTAGATAGATTCCTTCTTCTTCACAATGCATTGACTTCAAGCTTCTGTATCAGTTTTTTTTTTTTTCAAAGTTAGATCATAACATTAACAACAATCAAAAAATGAATTTTACGTGGTTCGTAAACAAAAACAAATATTTATAAAATTAAATTAATATTTTGCTGACAAATGTTTAAATATAATTTAACATGTTACATGCGTATGTGAAGAATACCTTTTTTAGAACCATATATGAAGAATATATCTTTGATAGATATGTTACATGAGCATGCAAATACTTCATATGCGAAGCTCGTTTTGTCTTATTTGTATAAATTCTAATGTTTGCGCGACGACTGAATCTATAGCCATCTCTCGATTTACATTTAGTATTAAAAATTGGAAGTTACAATAATTATACAAATTGGAAGTTTACTCCAACTTACCTCTAGGTGTCACGGGATTCTCTTCAGTAGCTTTAGAAACTGTCCCATTGTATTTGTAGGTTAATATTAAATTGACTTTATAGTCTACAGCATATCTTGTATATCTTAGCTAAGAAGCAAAATATTCTAAAATTTGTTGACTGTTCTAGATTATATTGCAAAATTTCAGATGACTTAATTTGTTATATATTTTGATTCAAGAGAGATCCGCTATGATATCTTGTGAATGTTTCCCCTTTAGTTGCACTATGAAAGCAAAAACAAACAAACACATTAACATGGTTTTATTAGCTTATAAGAACACGAAGATAAACTTGTGTTTCCGACGATTTTCTGACGTCCTAGTTAGAATTGATTAACAAAGAGATTTTTAGGAGGAAAATGAGAATTTTATTTCTAGGACTTAGTCAGATAGATATATAGAGTTTAATATTTTGATTATGGATGAGTTACGTTGAAGCAAAAGAAGTCATCTGCCACAGTGGATCAGAATTGAAACTCTTGAATTGAAGCAAGGATTGCAAGAAATCCGGAAACTAGGGAAAGGAGAACTTGCTATTTTGCGCACCAACTTATTAAACTTAACCTTAGAGGTTTATATCTAGATGGTTTACCTCATTGTCTTGATATACGACTTATTTACATAATAGCATACTTTTTTTTTTTTTTGAGCAAAGCATAATAGCATACTTATGTTTATTATTTTTCATAATAGCATACATACATTATATATTTATTTATATATGCTGACAGACAATATTACGTGATGACAAACTTATTTTTTAGATCTATGGATGTGATAACATACTTATTTTGTAGTATGTACGTGATGAAAAACTTATTTGACTGATGAGATACTTACATAATAAATTTATTTACATTATGACAAATTATTGTATGATGACAAACTTATTTGGTAGATTTAGAAGAATTCAAATTTAATTTCATAGAGGTAGACCTAATTTTTAAGGAGGTTAGTCGGAATATAAGTGTTTTTAGTGATGACATACTTACATTTTCCTAGAAGTATTAGTTTTTTTGATGGGATATAATGATTTTTCTCCATAATCTGCGAATATTAAAAAGTATATTAAAAAAACTAGTTAGTGTCTTAAAAATTAGGTGTACCTCTATGAACTCAAATTTGCAGAAAATTTTGCCATTAACAAATCTCTGAACTTAGTATATTACTAAGAATAAATTTGCGTCGTAGAAAATATGTTCAATAAGTTTGCAAAACAAATAAGTTTGTACAAAATGTATATCAGTATATGGTAAATTAATCTGTCACAATTACTTTCATAAACTTATTTCACGTATTCTTCATTTTTTTTTTAAAATATGGTGGTTATTTACGTAAATAGCAGTAAATATTTTGTTAATAACTTCAATCTACATCGAACACATAGTTTTTTTAATTTATCATTTATAAAATTATAACAACACATCTTTGTAATGTTTTCAAACATGGACGTCGCAATTCTTCTCTTTACTTAGAATCACATAAAAATAAAATCTATGTGGTATAAATTAAATATGTCATAATTATTTCGTAAACATATTTCACATATTTTCATTTCAAGAAAATATGGTGGTAGCTTTCGTAAATAATTTCAATTTACATCGAACACATAGAAAACAATGGGGTTTTTTTTTAGTCATAAAGCAATTTTATAATTTTTTCAAACATGTATATCGTAATTATTCTCTTTACTTAGAATCACAAAAAAAAAAAAAAGTAGGTGGAAACATATGAATTTTCCCGAAGAGAACAAGTAAGAATAAACACATAAAAGTGGAGCCAAACTCGAAATTTTCCCTTCACATGAAAAAAAGAAATAAAACAAAGAGACAAATGAAATCCAATAGGGTCCCATTATCCATGTCGTCTCGGTTCGTGTGTACCTCAAACTCCCACTTTCACTGTTCTTTTTCTTTCTTCTTGGGATGTCCGAAAAATAAAACAAATACGTAGAAAACAAAAACCAAAGTTAATCACAACAATCTCTCATATCTTTCACACAACACACACTTGCACAGTGTCTCCCATGTTACTGTACAAAGTCACACATCTCAGTTTATATAAATATATGCCCTCACTCATCAACCTCCTCTTATTATAAACCTTATTCAACATTTCTCTTTCTTTCTAATTCTCTCTCTCTCTCTAAAGACATACATATTTAATGGAGGAGCTGGATTTTGGTTCAAAAACAACTACTTCTCGTCTAAAGTTATTTGGATTTAGTGTTGATGGAGAAGAAGATTTCTCCGATCAATCAGTCAAAACTAGCCAATCTTCTGTATCACCTGAACGTGGCGAGTTTCCGGCGGGATCTTCCGAAAGAAGTGGCGGTGGTGTACGAAGCCGAGGCGGAGGAGGAGGAGGAGGAGGAGGAGAACGTAAGTACGAGTGTCAGTACTGTTGTAGAGAGTTTGGTAACTCACAAGCCTTAGGTGGTCACCAAAACGCTCACAAGAAAGAGCGTCAACAGCTTAAACGTGCTCAGCTTCAAGCTACACGAAACGCAGCCGCGAATTTCTCAAACGCTGGATCAGCGTCTCAGTTTCTAAGGAATCCTATAGTCTCTGCTTTTGCTCCTCCGCCTCATCTTTTATCATCATCCGCCGTGTCTCAGCCTATGGGAGGTCCTTGGATGTATCTTCCACGTGTTTCTCCGTCTCAGCTCCACGTGTCGCATGGTTGCGTGATTCAGGATGGTTCGGGTGGTGCTGGTGCGGGTGGGTTCTCGTACGAGTATGGGGCTCGTGATTCAGGGTTTGGAGTAGTTGGGCCTCAGATGAGACATGTTCAGGCCCATGGGCCGAGACCATCGGTGAATGGGTTTTCCAGAGAAGTAGGAACTACTTTTGATGATGGTTTAGGGTTGGATTTGCATCTCAGTCTTGCACCAGCTGGTCATTGACGGTTTTCTTTTTTAAGCTCTTGTATATTTTTCAACATTTTAATTAATTTATTTATTTTTAGTGATTTTTTTCTTCTCTATCAACATTTTTAGTGACTTTAAATTCCAGTAATTGTTTGCCTAATAAATATTTTAGACTCCAATTATGCTTCCTACCCCAAAAAAGTAGAGTCTCAAAATGCTTAACCAATTCATGAAAAAAAAATCCGGAAGGTAATATATGTTGAGACTCCAAGAGAAAAATATAAACAAATAGGACAAAGACTATTTATATAAAAATAAACGTTAGGACATAAGTTTTCAGGTGTACTGTAAGTGATTCTATAGAATGTATATATAAAAAAACATACAAAATAATCATTACACTATTCAGATCCATTAGATCTTAATCTTTTTCAAAACATTTTATTATAGTCGCCAATAGAATTTAGAGGTGAGTATGAAAACTCTCAAAACTTTTCTCACAAGTTTGCTGCAAAATTGTTGTTAAAATTAGTCAAAAGGGCCACGTTGCAACCTTTTCGGATTGCGTTTGAAATTGATGCGCCTCCAAAGCTGATCCGATATAAGCACACCAATGAAATTATTACTGAAGTGTTTACTTTTGGAGTTCTCACATTTTTGACATATTGGTTTTATTTTATTAGAACCAAAGTATAGAAAATTGTTACTTTAGATTCGAAAACTGTGTCCTAGGCCTCTGTTTTACAACAATGAAAGTAGGAACTTATATTTTCTAGAACATTGCAAATTTGTTCAATTATAAAACCTATGATATGTTTTTTGTTATAGAAATATGAAATATAGGATGAAGACAGCAAACATTACAAAAATTTTCAAAACCTAATTTTTAAAAATGAACCACTAGAATGCGGCTGAATTATTAATCTATGTGAAAAATTTAATCTACAATTGGCATCGTAGTGAGATTAATCGGTCTATAAGGTCTTGCACTCTTGTCGGTACTGGATATTCGATTACCCTGTTTGGTTAGAATTATATTTAGTTGATTACCCAATTTGGTTAGAATTAAAATTACTAATCTAACACAATTTGGTTAGAATTAAATTTAGGGATTGTAGGACCACTATAATCTTTTGGTCAATATGATTCAACTCCAGGTCTTCAAAGTCAATTACTCTCAATTCTTCAGTTAATTTATTCCCTTTAAGAGCATACATGTACACACTAGCAACGGCTATAAAAAAGAGATGTAAACATACATAGAGATAGAGTTTTGGTATGTGCAATCTACATGCATAAACATACCCGGGTCGAAATACAATTTGTTAAATAAATATGACTATAGGTGAAGGTGATACGTTTCTGCGACTTTATATATTACTAGGCTCCTATATCTCATAATTTAAGGCATACAAGCACTTATATAATGGAGGAATCTTACACTATCCTAACATTACCAAAAGAAGAACATTTTTTAATAACAAAATAATATAGCTTGGCGTAACATCTAGAATCTAGAAAATATTATATGTCACAAGCTAAGGAGAATCCCCGGATACCCGAATTTGAAATAATAAAATTACTCTAATTAATACTCCCTCCGTATTTTAATAATTGTCGTTTTAGAATTTTTATTTTTTTGAATTGGATGTCGTTTTCAAATTTCAATGCAAAATTTCTTACTTTTTAATGTCTTATGATGTCATAAAACATTAAAAAGTAATAAATTTTGCATAGAAATTTGAAAACGACATCCAATTCAAAAAAATAAAATTTCTAAAACGACAATTATTAAAATACGGAGGGAGTAGTATATTAATATGTAGGGGGTAGACCAGCGCATTTCGTGTTTAAACATGAAATGGGATCCTAGTCACTATGAGCCAATGAAATATATGCATGACCTATAGTATATTTGTTTTCTAGATACTTAATAATGCAATTGGCACATATGCATGTGTCTGTGTGTATATATATAGTATGGGTGTGATGGGAATTGGAGCAGTTGGGTATTTAGATACTTATAGGTTTAGAAAGTAGTTTTGAACATTGCTTAGTTAGAGACTTTTTTTTTTTTTTTAATAATTGTATGGTTAGAAACTTTTAGATGATGTGATGGGGTAAATTTTAATTTGCACGTAAGAGATTTTTCTACCCGTCAGAGAAAATTGCGTTTCCATAAGTTTCATTTTTTATAAGTTGTTTCCAAAAAGTTGCTAAGGACCGTCTTTGACTATCAGAAACAAGTCGTATGGAATTTTTTTTGATATTGATGATATGCAAGGACCGAGCCGCGTTATTTTAAACCGCATCTTTGAGCTTATCGTTATCGGCCTTATTGGTCTACAAAAAGAAAAAAAATCATATGTTCTACATAAAAATAAAACAACTGCAATGATTTTGGTCTACCAAATATAATGCTGCCAAAAAAAAAACGCATTTTCAAAAATACCATGTGTGCAATTGTGCATTCTTTGTAGCATGTGGGCAGGTTTCTTGATTCCATTCAGCTTTAACTGAGTATGCTGGTCCAATGCATCTAAGGTGCAATAGTTCGTAATGCTGTTTCAAATAGTAATTGGCTCTTGTATTTTTCTATCCGTACACTACAATAACCTAGCATCTCTCCCTCATACTTGCGACGATTCGAGTTTTAGAGGTCGAAAGATAGGTTGTCATTAGATAGGATGGATAGAAATTAATTTGAAGAAATGATTAGTGATTATGTAAAAAGTTTTTGATTCTTTGGCTAAATGATATTTAATATTTTGTACACGATAGATGAGAATTCTCTCATTACAATATACATACAATCGTACGTACGCATCGACATATCATCCAATTTTGGTACTTAAACAACCTATAAAAATTCAAAGTTGCTATCTTCCAAATTTCTCAATTAGAGAGAAGTCATCATTAGTCGACCATCCTACAAAAACCATATTAATTTTTCCTAATGAATACAACAAACAACTATGATGAATTGTGTACATATACATTTCAAGTGTATGTGTGTGTTTTTGTTGCGAACGGGTCACCTCATCCGCATCGTCGAAAACTCTGCCTGTAACCGCGTAGTCTCACTTGGCTACCAAGAATCAAGCCAATATAGAGATTTACTTTGTCACTATTTCCATACAAGAGGATTCTCCTAAACATTGTTCTGATCTCTTCTACTACTCCTAGCAATAGTCTTTAAAGAATTTGTTTTTCTTTAGTAATAAATCAGTAAACTTTACTTTTGAAAATAACAATACTAAGTGCATATGTAAAAGGTAATCTTTTTGGAGGGAAAGTTTTTGCATAGTCCCTAAACGTGCTCTTTTTCTGCAGCATGTGTCCTTTTTAAGGAATCATCAAAGTCCTTATCACACCATCAATCATGCAATATATATACCCTAATCTAAAGACTAAAGGACACCACTAAGTTATTAACTCTTGAGGGTACGTCTTATTTATGCTTTTGCTTTATCCCAGTCTGACAATTACACATATACATTGCATATAATCTCACTGGCTTACAATATCAGAAACATTGGACCTTCAATAATGTATCATGCATGCACATATGCATCCCCACCGAACACAAAAACGAAAATAGTAGAAACCCATGATTTCTTCTTTATTATACACTTAGGTCGCAGTAGACAGTAGTCTAGACTTTAAACCTATAGCTATAACAGATTCTCTAATAACAATTGTGTAAGATATATATACACAGATGGAAGAAAGTATTGTGTTTTGTATGGTCCTCATCATGTATTTTGGAGTTCGATTGTATCAAACACAAGTACTGCATGCGTTAGTAGTTAAAAATTTTGTTCACGTTATTACGTAAACGAAATTCTATTCCCCTTATATATTTTTTGCTTAATTTGTAAAAAAAATATCGTTAAGTTAATTCGTAATTTCTAAATAATGTTTCGCAAAAAAAAAACGAAAAATCTTAATGTCTTCTTTTAAAGATTGACATAATAACTTAACTTGGTAATTTCAACAAACACAAAAAATAGAAACAAAATAAGAATCGGTACGTAGTTTTTTTTTTTATAACTCATGGTAAATATCTAAGCCTATGAAGGGGTCCAAAACTAATCCCTAGGGAGAGGGTGTTCCACGGGTAGAGTCCCTCCTAGGTTTTTAAATGGTCCGTAAACAATGGGCACATACCCATGTGACCAAATGAATAAAGCTGAGCAATTCTGCGTCTGGAGAGAATCGATCTCTGGCGTAGACCAACATGGCAACTCTTCCACTAGATTAGAACCACTAGCCCACCACCTCTGGATTTTTTTTTTTTTTAGTAACTCGGGTAAATCCCTAGACAAGAATCGGTACGTAGTTGAAGAAACATTATATCATTATAATTTCTATCCGTAAGCTAAATAGATTTATAATATCGGTTGATGGTGGATTAGCGGAAGCAAGCGTCAGGCCGTTGTGTTGGTACATGTTATTTAACACATGTTTTGTTTCCTTTTACCTCCTCTAAGAAACCAAGAAATAATAGTTGTGGGTTTAGGAGTAATGTGGAGATAGGTTAGTGGTTAAAGTACGTTGTGGTAGGTTAGGGACAAGCACTAATATGACAATTCAGATTCCAGCTTAGAAACACGATAGGGCTTACGTGGAAAGTGATACGGACATGTGAAAGCAAGACAATCCCTAGGGTTTAGCTTTTGTTGACGTGAAATATGGAAAGAGGAGAAAGATGATGTCGATGTGTCGAAGCCTCGTTGGTTCCAACTAAATCTGTGGCTTAAGTATATCCAAAGAAAGTTCCTTTCTCTCTAAACGTTTTTACAATGTAGTTACAATTATGATGTCGATGGATCAATTCCATATAGGATAAGAATAAAGTACTAGATCTTGTCGGGATACGCCTTTTATATGCAAGATTCTCGTTAGCTAGAAAATTTAATAAACAAGTGACAAAGTTACAAGTACTATGTATAAGAAACAAACCAAATGAGCTTTTATATATACGTTCCATTAAAACGCTTCATGTAATAACTAAATGGATTTGAATAGAACTTGCTTTGAGAATTTGGATTTGTGTGTCATATTAACTAAATTTTCTTGGTCGAGTTTAAGAAC